ATAAAATAAAATAATAAAGCAGTGTCTCTGGTGGGTCCCTTGTTGCAGCTAACTGTAGTGATGTGTTGTTCTTTATGAAGGAAACAGTTTGCGGTTACCAACTTTATCTCAAATGTGTAGTTAATACAGTACAAGTTCCAGGTGCAAAACATCTTTCCAGTGAGCCTCAGTGTTGTTTATAATACAATAGGAGATGATTATGAGTAGGAGATGTTACACTGAGGGTGCCACTTATACTATCCAGTAATACGAGTACTGCAGGCTAACCTGCAAATATACCGATCAGAAAACTTTTATTCGTCGCAGTTTGACTCCACAAAACAGCCCTAGCGAGCAAAATCCCCAGCAGACGATTCAAAAGTTAATTTCTTTCAACATAGTTGTTCTGGGCTGGTAAGGACCACCCAAATACCCAAATATGTGTGTACAAACGCTAAAAAAGTGCAATATGACACCTTTAAAAATGTTAAAATATTAAATATACATACATGAGTAATATGCACAATGGCCAAATGGCCAATTTCACAATCATTTACGGTATATTAAATGATTGGATTAAAACTATAGACAGGACAGGGGTGAAAGTATATTGAAGTTCTTGCCGCTGATAATACTAAACCTTTATTAAAACTTTAATTAGACACACTTGACTTCATGTATAGCTGATTTAGGCATTTTAAATGGTATAAGTTAAGACAATGAATGTTACAAAACATCTTTAAAATCATAACAGTAGGTTGTGAAAAAATCTAAAGTACACAAACAAAAAATCAGCAGGACTCTTCCAGGCACTGTGTTTGTTTAGGAAGTATTATTAGTATTACAGCCATACAGAACCACCCATTGAAGTTGCATAGCTTGCTTGACCTGCTGTCTGAGTATAGTTGGAATAAAACTCTCAATATCAAACAACTGCAGCAGAACCTAAAGTTAGCCTGCTGTAGTAGAAAATACAGAAATGGAATGTATAAGTATATAAATAAATGAATGTACAAATAAACAGATGAAAACTTTATAATTATATTTAAATTAATAAATGAATGAATGTAGAAACAGAAATAAAACTATTAAATAAATCTACTAAACACATCTGTTACATACACCTGCATAAAAATCCATCTATACTGTACAAGTCAAACACAAATATTTGAAGATGCCTTTGAACCATATAACATTTCCTTGTTTTGGGCCTTTTTTTCTGCTGAGTCACCCAGATAATGTGAAAGGCACCACCATGCTGTCTGCAGGAGCAAACAGATTTTACTAGGAGAGCTTTTTGAAATACCGTTATCATGAATGTTTCGAGCACTTTTTGAGTTTATGGACCAAAACAGCACAGAGACAAAAGCTTTTTTTTTTATTTGAGTGTTATTCTCACCTACTGAACCTCTGACTGAAACCACAGTGTGAACCTGAACACACAGCGATCTGAATGAGGAGCACAGACTACATTTCTGTATCACTTTGATTTGATAGATTGTACACACACATCAAATTTCAGCTAATCTGAGAAATCGAATTTGCAGTGGAAAGGAAAGTAGGAATATTGTTGCCAATAATTTCTTAAAAACTGGAATGTTTCAAGGATTTTATTGCATATTGAATTGAGTAGATTACATTATTAAGAAAAGAATAAATACAGTACAATACAATAAACCTCCAAATTATAAGAATATAAGAAAAGAACAATACAGCAGACATTCTTCTTGTATTATAAGATAAATGTAGTGTAACACAGTGACTCACTGTGTCATGAAGTGGTTCAGTTTGGTGGTTTATCGTAGTACAGCACAGAGGCGGTAAGGTTGGGGACAGCGAATAGCTCCTAACTTGAACTCCAGACTCGGCTGCTCTCCAGCCGCTGCTGAGAAAGAAAACCTCTGAAGGAGGGAGGTAAAGAAGAGGAATAACTCTGTCCTGGCCAGCTGCTCCCCGAGACACACACGTTTACCTGAGGATACACAATACAACAGTTAAGGGTTAAGGGAGTTAAGGGATTCACTTAAACCTTATCATATTGCTGCAGCTCTGAAACAATAGAGTCTGAAACAATAAAAGAATACATGTCATTGTCATTTTCTTCTGTGAAGCATTTCCCCTTTTCCTGATTTCTTGTACTTTTGCATATTTGTCACACTTAGTTGTTTCAGATTTTTCAAACTATTAAATATAAGACAGAGACAACCTCAGTAAACAAAATACAGTTTTTACAGCTTTCTGGAGGTCAGTCTTTCATCACTGTGGAAGAATTTTGGCCTACTCTTCTTTGCAGAATTGTTTTAAATCAACCACATTGGGGCAGTTTTGAGCATGAACTGCCCTGAATCTAAATTGGATTCAAGTCAAGACTTTGCCAAGGGCACTCTAAAACCCTGAATTTGTTTCTTCTGAGCCATTCACTCTTTTAGTATCGCCGGACTGATGGCCTCTTTCAGGATTTTCTGAGAGGTGAAGTATGGGACGTCACCCAGATCCTAAGCAGCAAAACATCCTTACAACATCACACCACCAGCATGTGTTGATATGAGGCTCTGATTGTGGAATGCTGTGTTAACTTCACGCTAAATGTAACAGGACTAAGTAGGCAATTACATTTTCACGTAGTCAGTTGGTCCTTCCATAAATAATATTATAGTTTAAAAACTGTATTTTGTGTAACAACTGACTAACCTGCTGAAAAAGGAAAGAAGGCCTCCCTCTTCCTAAATGTGCCGTCCTGGTCCAAAAAATGTTGAGGGTTGAAGGAGTGTGGAGTTTCCCACATCGACTCATCATGTAGAACCGAGTTCAGTGTGGGCAGGACAAGGGTGCCCTGAGGAAATGCAGTCAATCAAACAGATTTACTTTTTTACTTCTGATTTTGCTTTAATTAACAAAAGCAAAACTGGTAAGATAATACTCCTCGTACAGTAGCCACATCAGTATTAAGTGGTTGTCCACATTGTGTCCATTTGGCTCCCCAAAACCTGAAATTGTTCTGTCGAGTCTTTGTGTGTGGGTGGGCTTAGTATCATCGTGAGCTTTGGATATTAAGTGCTGTATCAGTCCGGATGAGCAGTGAGCAGGTAGGCACTTTGCATGACAGCCTCTGCTATCAGTGTGTGAATGGGTGAATGTGCCAAATGTTGTGAAGCGCTTTGAGTAGATCAGAAAAGCAATGTATAAATACCAAAGATTAACAGGAAAGGGGGGAGAGAGACACGCAACAAAGGGCCACAGCTCAGACTCGTCCCCCGCAGCAGCCAGGACTCAGCTTTGGTACATGGGGCACCAGCTCTACCAGGTGAGCTACCAGGGCCATATTGATATGAGCCAAAGTCATATTGGGAGCATTATTTTGAATCGGCTCCCTGAGTGAAAATCCAACTTAGAAAACAAACAAAACATGTGCAGCATACCTTTGGGATTGTGTACTTATCAAGCGTGGTGTCCTTGCTTGTCATGTGGGCCACATTTAGGGGAATGATGTCGGCCATTCTCTGGATTTCATGGATGACTGCATTAGTATAGGGCATGTTTTCTCTGTCAGTCATAGAGGGCTGTCTGGATGAACCAATGACAGTATCTATCTCAGCCTGGACTCTCTCTGCACAGTAAAAACAGGAAACAATG